CCAGTAACTTCCTGAGTTAGTTTGGATTCTCTATTTGAGTAAATGAATTACCACTGGTTCTTTTCATATTTTCCTATTCTCAAGTTCTGTATTTGGATGTACCTCTTGGTTACATTTCTTCATTAAATAATTTTTCAAAGAGCTTATTGATAGTTGTGCTAATAAGTGTGATGGGACGAGGTAGGATGGGGGATTAGCAGTATATGTTAGGCAAATGTGGCTTCAAGACAAATCCTTTTCCAGTCTGAAACTCTGTTTTAGAAATTTTAGTCACTACTGATCAAAGTATGAGTCTTTGAATCTTTGCAAATTTGCAAGTGTGATTTTGTCGGCGTTATACCCAGCTCTTCAGAGTTAATAAAACTCGGTTGCTTTGACTAATTAACTTACCTGTTTTGAACCTTCATTTCTCATTTGTGAAATGGAGACCATAATTCCTACCTCAGAGAACTGTGGTGAGGGAATGCCAGGCACAGCTTCTCCTCACACACTACTGTCATTCCTTCCTCTTTTCCACAAGTGCTCCTTTCTGACCCTCTTCTATCTGCAGGTAGACCTAGGTGATCCTTTGTGCAGGGGCAGAAGCCACCTGGGGCTTAGGTAGTGCAAAATCAGGCTACTCTTTCTTGAGGGGTCCCAGTGCTGAAAGTCTGTCCCCGGCCGGCCCTCATGGTGACAGCAGGTAGTCTCCCTGGCACCCACATTTTCTGACCTTGTGGACAAGATGTGTCCTGAGACAAAAGGACTACCTTCTCTGCGGGGATCAGCTGGTGTGGGAATCTGATTTGAAGCCATACCTTACATCAGGGGAGAAAAGATGAGATACGGTCACCTCTAACCTCAATAACGGCTGTTCACGCTCCAGTGCCTCCCAGTGAACAGGCGTCTTGACATTTTTGTGTGATAGGACTTGTTCACAATCTAATGTGCTGCTGCCTTCTGAATGAGAAAGGCCAGGCACCAGACAGGTTTGCTCCTCCCCCACCTCCTTGAAGGCGCTTTATGAATGAAGGACTGGGAGGCCAAGGGAGAACAACGAACTGGAGGGATGCAAAGGACACCTGCCTTGGATGAGTGATGCTGGTAGAAAAAAATGCAAAGAAGCAAACTTTAGTATTGAGTAAACAAATTTGCTCACTGCCCCCACCCTCTCCCATGTTTAATATCTGATGTTAAGCATTGTGACAATGACAATATAAAAGGATATGAGAGGCCTAGTGGTTAAGGGAGCCAGATCCCACATGGCTGACTGCAATTGGAATCTCAGCCCCAGCAGCCTGAGAACCATGCTGGGTGTGTGTGCATACTCAAAACCCTGGCAGGATGAAGGCATTGCAGTGTGACCATGCCCTATTCGGGATTGTACTCTCTCTCCCTTTCTAGTAAATGCAAACGCCCTCTGGCAACTAAAAAAATTAAAGGAGACAGAAAAGTCTTGCTTTATTATACTGTGGCACCAGCAGACAGTGGGGTATGACAAAGAATGACAGATCCATACTGATATGGAAAAATATTCACTGAGGTCTTGTTGAGTAAAAAAGTCTACAGAGCAACACACACAGTATGACACTTTACGTAAAACTGAGCACATGTGCACTCATTGCAGGGAGAGATGGAAGGAGAGACAGCCATCAGCACAGTGGTCCCTGATGGGGATGACTTATTAGGTACTCTCCTATCTCCTTCCCATTTGGTATAATGAACACAGATACTCCGTAGAAATAACCCAAAAGCTATTTTTAATCAAATTTTAAAAGCAGATCTTTATATTCTCTAAATGAAATCATTCACTTCCACTCCCTACAACTGTACAGGTTAGGATGATGATAACAGGCCTTTCTTCACAGGTTGCGGTGAAGACGAAAATAAAATAAGTACGTGCAAACTTATCAGGGCCTGTTCATGTCCTCTTTGACACAGCTGAGTGAAATCGTTTTTCCCCTGTATAACGAATGTGGGGCAGAGTGGAGTAAAAGAGGCTGAGTCTCTGGCTTGAGTGTGAATCTTTGGTGTTTAGTGGCTAAGCATGGAGCTGCCATGTTGGGCTGCTCTGGGGTATATTCACACAGCAGTACATGTAATCACAAGGTTTTTAGGACTAGGACCAGCTACAATTAGGCAACATAGCAACCTTACCTCAGTTTTACATAAAATAGTCATAGTGTGCATGTTGCTTTATAGCCTTTATTATTTTTTTGAGAGGCTTTTGCCTTACGGTGTGTGCCCTTGCCAGAGAGAGACAGAGACAGTGAGAAGGAAAGTGAGAAGTCACCTCCTGTGGGGATGACCACACTGCAATCCGTTCTCCTCCATTCTCCTCTTGGGATTTTGGGCACACACACATACACACACGTACCTGGCATGTTTTAAGCTGCGTCTAGGACTCGAACTGTGGTCAGCCACGTGGGAGTCCAGTGATGTAACTGCTATGCCATCTGCTGGCCCTCTTTATAGTATTTTTTTACTCAGAGGCTAAGACTCCATCCCATGTCTTTGTTACATGACAAGCACTATCATCTACTTTGAGGATGGTGCTGAGGTTTACTCAAGATCACCTAGGAGAAGGACTGGAAGTAGAGCCCAGTGCATGGTGAGGGCTCAACACATGGTTGTTCCCTTCCTGAATGATGGAGAAAACCCCGAGGTGGACAGGAGGGTATTTCAGGTATGTTAGAGACAGAGGCACATTTGGGTAATGGTGATTACAGTAGGATGGATAAAAGCAGCTGACTTGCTACATTTTATGAGCATAAATTTGATGACCTATGTTAAAATCAGTTTCTTTAAAAAGTCTGTGAACTTGTTTTTGGAACAGCTTTCAGAGTGAGACACGAATATATTGCTGGTGTACACAACTTTAATACAGAAAAACATGCCCCCCAACATAAAAGCCTGCCAAACTTCTTTGGAGGGACTCCCTGAGTGAACACAGCTGCCAGCCCACACAGGAAATCAGCGAGGAATGCTGACACCAGACAACTTGTAGCGAAGCCTCCAGGATTACAGTGATGTTTAGAAAGGCCTTTTGCTAGTATCTTCACCATTAAGGCATAGATGTAACAGCTATAACCTTTGATTTATGTGAATGAAACTGAGACCAACTACAGGATGGAGGGGATGGGGCCTTACAGTGCTAGATACTATCTTCCCAACACTGGCTTCTAGGAAAACTTAAGATAATCTTAGAAAAATCAGAGATTCTACTCTTAGCAAATGAGAAACTTCTTCAGTAAAGAAGTGAGCCAAATACTGCGTATGTTAGATATTACTAGTCATAGCTAGTGGTGGTTTTCCATCAGTCCCTTGTTCTAAGAACTCAGCATACTTGAGTTCATTTAATCCTATGTCTGCTGTACAAGGCAGGTACTATTGATATTCCTGTTCTACAGATGAGGAAGCTTAGAGATTACCTGTCAGGGTCAGCACTGTGTAGAGATGCCACTTCATCAAAGCAGGAGTAGTAAATGTTTATATAATGTCACGGTTTATGCAGCACCTCTCAAATAAGACACATTTGATTCTCATACTTGCCCTGAGTGACAGGGCTATGTTATTGGCTAGGGGAAGGGAATGCAACCTGATGGGGTGCTTGGTTCTTGGGCCCAGAGCTCTAAGGTAGAGACCTGTCCTGAGATGCAAATAAAGCCACAGCCAGGATAAAAGTATGAAACAGACGTTTTAATAATATAACACACCCAGAAGAGGATCTGGGCAGGCAAGCTACCAAGTGACAACTGTACCATGTATGGGGTGAGGTGTTACTTTTATTGTGGGGTTTTGTCATGAATATTTAGGAGGGGAGGTCTATCACTGTAGCCAGCCCTACTGTTTGTTTTTCTGTGCTTTTGTTTTGCCCATGTACTTGTCTGGTAAAGGGAACTTCATTGCCTGGTTGGGGGAAGTCATATGCTGGTGCATGCCCAGCGTGGACTTTGAAGGTGTGAGAATGCGCACAGGGACAATTCTGCCCACGCAGGTCTAGTGCCTCCAGTGGAAGGTAAAGTACAGGTCAGGCGCCTAGGATGGTCTCTGAGTGCACAGGCATAGCTGTGGGAGGGGAAGATATCACAGTTACATTTCCCAGGTCTTTCAATGACAGCTCAAGTTATAAAAGTAAGATAAGCTTCCCTTCCTGGCGCCAGGGGGTCTAGCTGCAACCCCTGATAACAGTGATTGATGCCCCCTACATTGGTTCTCTCGGGACTCTGCTCATATCTGACTACCTATAGCATTTCATGTTGCAAATGGGAAAATCGCAGCTGAAAAAGTTGAGGAGACTTGCTCAAAGCTTCGCAGTTAATGAGGAGCCCAGGTTTTCAGAACCCAGATGTTGAGCTCTCTCTTTTTGTGAACTCAGGGGTCTGGGAGTTCTTTAAGAACAAAGTTTTGTGTTTTCAATTATGATGATCCCCTCCCCCCAAGAAAAACAACTTTTGGCAATGAAAATTGGTATTCAAAAGAGACTTGGTTTTTAAATTGTACTTTTCAGTACTTTGGGGTCAGAAGAGATGAAAAATGGACAAAGATTACTTCCAATTTTAAGAAACAATGAGCTTTACCAGGCTCTTTTCATTTGGTGATTTAGGTATTTAGGTATTTTTAAAATCTCATTTTCTATTCAAATATATTTCAGTCTGTTTCTGATATGGCTAGATTTTTTTTTTTTCTTTTTTTGCTCTAGGGCATATATGCTTGCCAAAGTGAGAAAACACCCCCTGGGGGAAGGATGCTCCACAATCCCTTCTCCTCTGTTCTCTTCTAGGGATTTTAGGCATGCACACACACACACGTGCCCAGCATGAGTTTTAAGTTGCTGGGTCTAGGATTTGAACCATAGTCAACTACGTGAGTCTAATAACATAGCTGTTACTCCATCTGCTGGTGCATTTTTAAAAAAACTCTTTAAGTACTTTAGCAAAAAGCTGAACATAAAATCACAGCTATTTGACTGGGCTTGGGGTGGTTGCTAAGGAATTGTTTAGTATGGATCAGAAACAGGCTGTTGCTTGGATTGATCCATGCTGAGGCTGGTAGGATCAAGTCTAGCTGATCTTTCTCCTGAGGTGGTCATGGGAACGCAGGTCTCAAGAAGGGTAAGAGAGCCAGGCTGTGGAGATATAAAACACCTGCATGGCAGGAGAAGCCCTTGGCAGTCCCAAAAATCTAATGCTCCTAGCAGCAGAAAGGCAGGAGGTGCTCTGACACCTGGTAAAACTTTCCAATTTCTGCAGCTTTGCAAAGGCCACAGGATGAGCTAGAAAGAAGAATCTCCTGAATCTTGGGGTGGAAATCAGGATTGGGCAATAACTGATAGGTATCAGGTACAAGTTGGTAAGCATTTCTGTTTCAAAATTTGCTTTCAACTGCCATCCATTAAAACAAACTTTACCATGTGAATGCCCTTTTACAGCTTCACAAAGGCCTCTCTCATACATGAAGCATTTTGATTCATTTGGGTAAACAGGAAGAGAAAACTGAGGCCCAGTGACTCTTGTGTATGCAGGGCTATGTTGCAGGCTGAGGCAAGCCTGGGCCCTGCCCAGCACACACTGGGTTCTATCCCCGGAAATGGGTATGTTACAGCCAGGAAAGTGTACGCTTTATTAGTTTAATAGTTTCTTTTTTTTTTAATACGGGAAAAGGCACCAAAAAAAGGAGCATGGGATGTAGCTAATCTCCCTAAACTACACTCAAGAAAAGCCGCTGCAGTTCCATAGTGAGCCCATGAGAAAGCCACCGCGGCTGCCGTGTAGCAATTTAATGAACTGGCAAACGGTACCCGGGAGGGAACGGGAACAGTGCAATGGGTAGACAGTGAAACCTGTCAAAATTCATGCGAATGGCACTGGATTTACAGAGAGGAAAAAACCCCACATCATTCTTCTTTGTATGTTAAAGATGTTTTATTTTTAAACCCTTTTAGAAGAATTGATTCTATTAACTCTTTATAAAATGCCACAGAAGCCAGGGGCCTAGGGTAAAGCCATGCTCTAACTTAGGTCTTGACCTTCTCAGTAAGGCTTCTTCGTAGATTACCTGGAAGCTTCAGAAAGGCAGCTCTATGAGATGAATCTTTGAAAAAGCCAATCATCCCATTTTTCATTTTATTTTGCTTTCACCCAAAAGGTGAACTCTTACCTTTCTCTAACACAAACCAGAATCCACGTTAAAGAATGAAAATGCAGGGAACAGCCCTCGTGGTGGCCAGTCTTGACTTAAGGCCACACGGCCTCAGCCACGTGTGTGTCAGATTCTGCATGCTCAGGACAGATAAATGGGAGAGCCAGATGCTTTCTGGACACCACACTTGTGGCTGCCCAGACTGTTCCACAGCTGCCAAGAGTGTGCCAAGTACAGACCATAAAAAATGTGAAATAAAGGCTCTTTGTCATGGCCCCACTTGGATGATGAACTCCCCACTGGGGAAGGCTGAGGTGGCCGCAGGCAGGCGTAAACATAAACCCACAAACTCAATTCTTCTTTCCCCCTTCACACTGTTATTTTAGAGCACCAGTGCATTAACCAGGATGATTTCCATAAAAAACAAAAACAAAAACAGCTCATTTTCTTAACTCATGCACAGATGCCTATGTAGCTAAGGGCCAGAGATCCAAGTCTGGTCGTTTTTCATATGATCCAACCTGACTTTTTGTCCCTTGAGCGACAAATAACCTACTCCTAAGTTTGCTCCTCAAATGACAATGATTAGCTTTGTTTCATGAGTTATGGTATCCAAATGAGTTAATTAGTCTTTGTCACCGTGTCTTAATCAAAATAGGTCACCTGCAGGCCGCATGCAGTATTTAGAAATTGGATAAAAGATTTAAGCCTCAAAAACTGAAGTGATTTCTTGGGTACACACAGGAGAGAGTGGCTCCAGGGTTTGGTCAGCAGCTGCCTGGTCCGAGCCTTAAAAGCAGTTTCCAGCCTGTGCAGCAGCTGGATGAAGTGAAGCCCCTCGCCTGGGGGATGGTGTAGGTAGTTTGCTCCTCTCAGCCTCTCTGCTGAGAATTCAAGAAATCTTGATTCTCTGTCTTCTTCCAGGGAGGACAGCACATGAATGTGAACTGATGTGACAGTTATTTAAGCATCTTCACCATGTATGGGCCTTGTAATCTGTAGCCGATCTTTCTATAATAATTCCTGGTACCGACCCCTGCAGAAAAACCAAAGTGAAAACAGAGTATCTAATGAGCAAAACTGTAGACACTCTCAGGGGCCAGCCATTGTTTCCCTCAGTGGTCAGCCATTGTTTCCCTCAGTCTTAGACCCTCTTCCACTCATTCATAGGTTAGATTCTATTCCAGATAGAATGTCAGTTTAGTAAGTTTGCATGCTGGTACACAGAATTGCTTTCCTGTGGTACAGCTAGGCTTTCCTCAGTAATGATTCCAACTGAGTCTACAAGCTTGGGCCCTGTAGTTTTGTCTATATATTGAGGGTGAGCCCTAGAAGTCATTACCAACGTGGGGAATGGCACCCAGGCGTTGCTACGGGCCCTTCTGAAGGAGAGGTACATAGTGTCTGTTGAGCTCCTATCCTGGGTTTCAATGATGTGATGAGATGGAGAGCTATCTCTGGGCCCTCTGAGAAACCTTTACATATTCTGGGGAGGAAGCTTGACCACGGACTCCAATATTCTCTCACTGAACAACAACTAAACAAAAAATATCCCCATCTGTATCTCGTTGTGCCCTTGAAAAGCAGCTCTCCGTTTTCCTACCGTCTGCAGAAGAGACTGGCACAGTCAGGATGCCTGCACCCAGCCAGCTGAGAAGGGAGTGTGCTGTGACCTGGGTTGGGTGAAGGCCTCACTCTGCGCCGACCCCCGCTTCATGCTTAGTAGGGCTCCCAGGGAGTCCTCCATCGTCACAGTAACTTTCCTTTTGTTAGCCAGCCAAGAAAATGCAATTACCCTTCAGAGCTGACGTCAGCCAACCTCCTGGACTGACGTGCACAGGCTGCCTCAGCCGTCTCCCGGCCCCCCAGCCTAACTGCTGCTGCCTCCCTCTGAGGTGCAGCGCATGCAGACTGAACAAGAAACCGAGTTCTCCACCGGACCACCTGCAAGGGAAGCTGCCAAATTCCTGGGCTGGGAAATGGGCGGGAGTTAAATGGCTCCGTGTAGCAGTTCTCAGGGTGCGCTATTACAGAGCCAACAGTTGCTGGAAGAGCATTAAGGACTGGAGGGAGTGGCAGTCCAAATGCTTGCTTTGCTTTACCCTCCACGTTACTTAATCCACTACCAGAATTTATATTCCGAGGGCTTTTTTCCTACTCTTCAGGCACCATACATATTTTTATCTTTACCATATTGCCAGCTATGACGATGATGATGAAGTCAGGTGAACACAGAATACCTTGAAAAGTGCTGAGTGATATTTAAAAATGTGTGGATCTGTGAGCAGCTTTGGGGTCACCTCCCTGGCCTGATGTGAGGAGAAGACCCTTTAGCACTTGGTGGGAAGGCCCCTTTCCCCGCAAAGATCTCTGGTTCACTGCTCCACAGCAGCTGGCCTCTCCCCAAACCTCCCATCTGGAGCAGAGCAAGGCTGCAGCATCTCTGAGCTTTTTTTCTGAACCAAATATCCTCAAGCCCTTCACAATGGAAGAATATTCTGCTTCCTGACTCCCTTCCCCTCTCTTTGAAAACCAATTAGCTTAAAACTCTAAGTTTGCCCACTCTAAGGATTGAGGAAAAAGGAAATCACATAAAAGACACACACGTCAACTGCCTCAGTCGCTGGCTGTAACAGAGGTTAATTATGGGTTGCTCAATATGCTTTAATAAAAATAGAGGGGGAAAATTCACAAAACCTTAACAAAATTAACCAAAGATAAAAAAAGGAACAATCCCAGATGTTGACATGGGCAAATGGATACCAGTCAATGTGGTACCTGATTGAAACACAACGCCTTGTTTTTCCAAGTTACTAGAGCATTTTAGTCCTAAGGGGATACATTCAACATCATCATAAAGCCTTAAAACACTAAAAATAAATACACATTCCTTTTAAAAAATAAATTAAGAGCAGGAAATGAACCTAGATGCTACCTAGCTTGTGATTCTGACTAATTCCATTTTAAAAACCCAAAAAACCACACACACACACACACACACACACACACACACACACACACAGGGCAGCAATAATTTGGTAGCTGAGTGACTCTAAAGCTAGAGGAGGAAAACAACCTTTTCTGAGCATTAAAACATATGCCAGGCATTGCATGTTACAGGCTGGCTCCACATGTATCAACTCAGTTAAAAGCTAACGAGATGGGGAGGGCCAGCAGGTGGTGTGGTGGTTAAGGATGCTGGACTCGAACATGGCCAGCCACAGTTGAAGTCCTCGACCTAGCGACTTGCTTTCTCACTTTCTCTCTCACACACACACACACACACACAAACAGGGCAGCAATAATTTGGTAGCTGAGTGACTCTAAAGCTAGAGGAGGAAAACAACCTTTTCTGAGCATTAAAACATATGCCAGGCATTGCATGTTACAGGCTGGCTCCACATGTATCAACTCAGTTAAAAGCTAACGAGATGGGGAGGGCCAGCAGGTGGTGTGGTGGTTAAGGATGCTGGACTCGAACATGGCCAGCCACAGTTGAAGTCCTCGACCTAGCGACTTGCTTTCTCACTTTCTCTCTCTCTCTCTCATTGTCTCTTTCTGGTCAAATTAAAATAAATAAATAAATAAAATAATTCTAACTACAACAGCAAAAATCTAACAAACTGGAATTACTACCTGAAGAAATGTGAGTCATAATTCAGGGTCACACTGCTAGAGACTAGAAGAACCCTAATTCAGAGCTAGGCTGTGTGCCCAGAAGTTCTAACATGCTAAGGCACCTATATTGAGGGTGAGCCTCCTTTTCCCAATTTTAGTTTTGAGACATCAAGGCTGCCACACGTCCCACCTTTGACAGCACACCAAGGACTTTGGACTTATCTCGATCACCTTACCTCCTGTATCTGTGTCTAGTGCTTTGGTGTCCTTTGTTTGATAAATCGCTAGTTGAAACTGAAACACAGTGACTGTACTTCCATATCAATAACAGTGCCCCGTAAGAAACAATAAATAACAGCAAAGGGTCTGACAACACAGGCAGGCAGTAAAAATCTCTGTACACAGGTATGGCTTACCAATGTGAGAACTACTGGGGAGGGGACAGTTTTCAGTAACACCTTGATAAATTACAGTCACTGCTTTTAAAATGACAAGAACTACAATAAAGAATTTTGGGGAAAAAGTAACAAAGAGGGCACAAAGAGGGAAACTAGATTCTAGAGAAAGGGCATAGAAGTCAAGAGTATTTAAGCTTATAGAAAAGATGCCTTAGGGCCTGCCCTGTAGGGTAGTAGTTAAACACTGAGCACAGGGAGTCAGATCCACATGACCGACTGGTTCAAATTCCAGCACTGGCTGCTTGAAAAACACACCAGATTGTGTGGTTGTGCACGCATGTCCAAAATCCTCACAAGGGCCAGCAGGTGGTTAAGGTAGAGGTTAAGGTAGCTGGATCCCACATGACTGTGTAGTTCAAGTCCCAGACCCAGTGGCTTGAAAAACACACCAGGTATGTGCGCCTGCCTGAGCAAAATCCCATGAGAATGGAGGAGAAATGACCATGGCATGGCTATTCCCTCTGGGAGGTGGGGGGAGGTGCTTTCTCATTTTCCCTCTCTTGTCTCCAGTGAGTGCCTATGCCTTACAACAAACTATCAATAATAAAGTATGGAGAAAGAAAATAGTGTGGGTGGGGAAGAGAGTAGGAGACACGCTGGATACAATAAATAGGTCTGGCATAAATAGGTCTAGCGAATGTTTAATTGGCATCCCAGGAAGAGAAGGGAGAGAAAACAGGATAGAGTTAATATATTATGGGTTAGGGGCTAAAAATGACTCAAAACTGATGGGGGAAAAAAAATCAATTCACTGATTAAAGAAGCCCAAGTGGGAAAATGTATACCTAGAAGCATCACAGTACAAGTAGAAAAAACAAAATTGGAAAAAACAATGATATTTTAAAAAGTCATAAAAATAGCCTGAGGGGGATCAGCAGATGGCATAATGGTTACATCAATGGACTCCCACACAGTCGACTGTGGTTCAAGTTCTAGACTTAAAGCACACCGGGAGCATATGTGTGTGTGCCCAAAATCCTGAGAGGAGAATGGAGGAGAAGGATTGTGGTGTGGCCATCCTGGGGAGTGATTTCTCACTTTTTGTTTTTCTATCTCTCCAGTGATGGCATGCACCCGATAGCAAAAATCTTTCTCTCAAAAAAAAAAATAATAATAAAAAAAAATAAAATAAATAAAATCCTAGGAATACCCTTAATGATAGACATCTTTTTCTTTTTTCTTCCTTCCTTCTTTCTCTTTCTCTCTTTCTTTCTTTTTAAAGGTTTTTTGCCATAGGGAACATGTGTTCACTCTTCAGAGAGACAGAAACAGTAAGAGGGGAAGTAAGAAATCACCCTCCCCTCCATCCCCTGAAAGGGATGGTCATGCCACAATCCCTTTTCCTCCATTATCCCCCTGAGGTTTCAGGCATGTATGCACATGCATCTGGTATGAGTTTCAAGCCACCGGATCTGGGACTTGAGCCACAGCTGGACATATGGGAGTCGAGCGCCCTAACCATTATGCCACCTGATGACCCTAACATCTGATTTAACTGTAATGTGCAACATTAAAAGTCAGAAAATACTGGGAAAATAGTAGATTCAAGGTACTGAAAGAAAATAATTGCAAACCCAGAATTCTACCCAGTGAAAACCTCCTTTATGAATGAAGCAAAATAAAGAAGAAATTTTCATACAATCAAAATTGAATTAGCCATCTAGCTGGCATGCTCTTCACCGGTGCACCCCCACTCAACCAGCTGGAGCAAGGTAGAGGCTGGCATGTGTGTCACTCACTATCCTGCCCCACATCATTCTCGTGGAAGAGAAGAAGGGATTTTTCCATTTGGCTGTTGTGCTGTTTGCTGTCCCACCCCACCACCAAACAAGCCACAGCAAGGTAAGAGGGCATCTGCATCCTGCCCGTGCACTCTGCAACCTGTGCTGCCACCTCACATTCTGCCATTCCAGCTCAGCCTGCAGCCACGTTGGGGCTGGTGAGTTTGGAAAAGGAACCA